CTTCCAAGTTGATTTGAACTGCAAGCTTGGCGGTCAAGTTTACCAGCCACTGTTGGAAACCCTATACAGGGTTGCCATGGGTTGGAACTGACTCAATGGCACTTAACTGCTTTATTTAAACCAAACTTGGTTAATCACTATGGCAATCCTAAAAAGTCGTTAAGAAAATAAACTTTGTCTACTGAAGATTACTTAAATCAGGGGTGGAGAATCGTTTTTCTGCCAAAATTTATAACAGCATTCATGGGCCATACAAAATTATCTATTTAAAATTTAGCCTGTTATATTTTATCAAAAACTTCATTAATTCACCCCTAATATGATGGACTCAAGCGTGGCAACAGTAGTGAGGTTGGCCCAGGATCGGGCAGTGTTACGTTCTGCTGTGCATGAGGTCGCTATGAGTCGGTACTGACTCGATGGCACCTAACAACAACAAGATGATGGCTGGAGCTCTGGTAGCGTAGTGGTTATGAAATGGGCTGCTAATTTTAAGGTCAGCAGTTTGAAACTACCAGCTTTTCCCAGGGAGAAAGATGAGGCTTTCTGCTCCTGTAAAGATTTACAGCCTCGGAAACCCTGTGCAGGGTGGCTATGGGTTGGAACTGACTCAAAGGCATTCAACAACAACAATATGATGGCTAAGGAGCTCTGGTAGCATAGTGGTTACAAGTCGGGCTGCTAACCTAAAGGCCAGCAGTTCGAAACTACCAGCCATTCCATGGGAAAAAGATGAGACTTTCTGCTCCCATCAAGATTTACAGCCTCAGAATACCTATACAGGGTTGGTATGTGTCAGAACCGACTTGACAGCATACCACCACCACCACCACCACGTGATGGCTAAGGGGCCCTGGTAGTGTAGTGGTTACGAGTCATGCTACTTATCTCAAGGTCAGTAGTTTGCAACTACCAGTGGTTCCATGGGAAAAAGATGAGGCTTTCTGCTTCTGTAGATTTATAGCCTCAGCAACACCAAACAGGGTCACTATGAGGTGGAACCAACTCCACAGCACATAACCACCACCAACCAATGTGATGGCCAGAACTGTGGTTGCCTTGGCAGGACCAGACCAAATGATTTCACGGGCCTTACACGGTTGGCAGGCCAGACGTTCCCCATCCATGATTTAAATGAACAGTAAATGTAAAAATAATTACTATCTTGAGGATAACAGGTACTTAAAATACATGTGTGAATATACAATAAAATTTTGTGACTATTTAAAGATTTTCAATAAATTAGTTTAAATTAGTATCAAGAATACAAACAGGGTTATAATCTTAAACAACTGCCAAAAGGATCTATGAAGCTAGGTACAAGAGAGTAGCCGACCTGTGAAAACAGAACATCTTTATTCAAAGGCTCCATTTTCTTACCAAAGGAAATACTGAGAAAAATGAATGGAAAGGTAGGTATAGGGATTGCCATATAAGTTTTGGAGCTGATGCAACAACACATTTCAATCTGAATAGCTAAAGGTGTCTATTTTGTCTTTCTAAAATGTTTTCTCCAGTAGCTGGGATTGGTGTGTTAAGTTAATTTGTGTGGGCTGCACAACATTTAGAGTATTCTCTCTGGTCCAGAACAGGCAGACATTCTCTGTACTTTATATTTTCTACGTAGTATGTTAGACAGCCGAGCAGATCCTAGATCACCTATAAGTAACAATCCAAGCATGTTATCAGTTCCTTAAGATAATATACAAAGCCATAGTTAAATTCAGTCTTTCCATAAAGTTGCTTTCTTGTTATCTCACCTTTGCCCTTCAAAGGGAGGTTTAAATAATACAAACTTCTACAATTAAAAATGAAACAAACAAAAGGATGAAGAAGGGAAGGAGATTCCAGGATCCACTGTGTGGGATGTCAGGCCTTGTAATTTTGCCTTAGTTCTGATAAAGGGATGCTCTGAGACAAGTCAGTGTGGATATAGTGACACAGTACAGTAATGCTTCTGATGGGTAAGAACACTCAGGCATTTTTATAAATTTCTATACATTATACATCACATTTGGTTCCTAGATATTTTAGTCAAGTATTAGTACTACTTTTTGCCAAGTATGATATACAAAAAGATGAGAATAGCAGTAGAATGTACCTTAAATATATGAAAATATAATATATAAACAAAACCATTATAAATTACATAGATTTTCAATATAAAATTCTGATTTTTTCCATTTAGAATAAATACCATCCAAGCTTCCAGATAATATAAGTGGATGAAATATGCACACATAGCTGAATCATTTTCAGAACTTCAAGAAAGTAGAAAAAAAATCACTAAGGAATGACCAGGATGACTCATAAACCAGAAATTGTTTGATTCAAGAATGACTTCACAAGACCGAAGGGCATAGTTTGGGATTAATTTACTGTTTTTAAAACTGCCCAAATGAATCACACACATACACACACACACACACACACACACACACACACAAGCTACAGCCATATGCCTATGAATTTCTATGAAGCTGGACTGTTCACTTTATCTATGAAAATTCAGCTGAAAGTCATGAGGTCCTCTGCATTTCATATTCTGCAGGGGGTACCTCTCTCATTTTCAAAAGAAGCAATAAAATGGAAGAGTGTAGAATTTCTGGAAGGAGAAATTCCCTTAATAAGCCAAACTCCCTTTCAGTTAACTATTACTACACAAGAAGAGCATTTTGATGCCTTAAATCGGGAGAATGTTTGAAACTCTTTGTGTGCTCCCTCCTTTCACCCCAGTCTGTAAAAGCTAAAACCAATCTGAAAACATTCTTTGGTTGCATATTTATGCTTCTGCTGCATAAAAAATATGCCCATTTTAGTTTAGTATCTCTCCCTAATCAGTGTCAACAAAGAATGAATGCCTATGTGCACTGCTGGGAACTCTGCGCATGGGTTTCAATGGATAAAGGACTGAAAAGGATGAGGAAAAGTTCATAAACTGAGCCTCTTAAGTTGTTGCTGCTTCAGGCATATATATCCCTGGTAAAGATTTATTGATCTCCATTAAACTGGAAAAAATTTTCAAGAGCTAGAGATAAGACACTCTGTAACCAAATACATGTAATCTTAGTCCAGAGAGTGAAAACAAGAGTCACCATTTCTTAACTGCTCACTACTAATTTTGTTATGTGACCATATAAGGCATGTCTAATACCAACAGTTAATTTCCTGTCAAGAAAGGTCTAATCAAACTCCGTGTCTGTCAGATTGCCAGTCACACCAGCTATCAATAAATAAACCCATTGAGGTCACCTCTAAAAAAAAGCCCAGTCCCCTAAATTAGAGAGACAGGTAAATTTGCTGTAATGTTTGGACAGCAAACTCTTTCAGTTTTGTACCCATTTTTATTCCCAGAAGTGTCTGTCTCATGCAGTAAGGTCCATCATGGGAGATTACAAACTTTCCATAAAACTCTTATTGTTTGAACTAGAAGGGATCTTGTGGCTCATCAAGTAAAGTGTGCAAGTTTTACAGATGACAAAGATTAGAGACGGAATTATCCAAGGTTATTCATGCAGATAATGAATGAGTGAAGACTATGCAACTGGGTCTATTTCCTCAGTATCAAAGTGACCAATGCAACTTCCTATGGCCACAGTCCTTAGTACTATTTTAAGGTTGTTGTTATCTCTTGCTCATAAGTGATAATGAAATGTCACTCATTCTCCCCACCATTAAATCCCCTAAACTGTAGAAATGGTCCTAAATGGTTTTGTGTGTTTCTTTTTTTTTAGGGGGGGTAGGGGGAAAGAGGAAAAACCCACAACTTGTTTAAAATGCTACTTTTTTTTTGTTTTAAATGGATGTTTTCTATTTTAATAAGCAGGAAAATTCTTTGTGAATTCAGAGATAAATGTCTTCAAATTAACTATGAAAAAGAGCAAGGATGACATATAACTTAGTTCTGTGAGAGCAAGATGATTTAAATGGTGCTCACCATTCATCTAGTCTACCCTCTTTTAGCAATGAGGAAATTGAGACCCAGCTTTACCCCAGGCCTAAGTCGTTGAATGAGCAAGTTGTTTTGGCTTCTTTCTATCATGCTGCCTTGCAATATAACTGCTTTCTTATGGGACTAAGTAAGTCAATAACTTTGGCATGAAATCTGATGGCACAGTTCCCTATGCCTTCACTGTATTAATACTCTAACCCTTTACTCTCCTTTTCAAGGACTAACAAGTTAGCTTCACAGCTCTCAGAACAGTACCTGGCTATACAGCTTTACAGATAGATCCTTATATCTGCGGCTTCAAACCGAAGGTTTGAGTCACTCAATGGCAAGTCCTTCTGGGAAGCCAAAATTTTACAACTTACGGGAACTCATCAAATGCCTCTATCTTTGGAAGTAATAATTTTCCATGTAAAGAATCAGTTTTTGTTTGGAGGATGATGTTATTTAAATGTAAACAACACTTTTAATGGATAAAATGGGTATATGTAACCTTTTCTAATAAGCCTCCACACCTCAGCTGAGCTCAGCAAAAGTTCCCCAAATTGGACGAGTAAACACATTTTTATTTGGCTATTAAAGTGCTATTTCCTGGGCAAAACATTTTTTTTTCTCAGTTTCACAACAGCAGCTTCATTAGACACAAACAAAAAAAAGCAATGTATGAAAATAGGCCTGGGAAACAAACAAACAAAAAATTATAATGAATTTAGTCACTGTTTTGGAACATTACAAATGACTTGTAGTTATCAACCCTGGTAATGGTGACTGATACCAAAGCCTCTGAGGTAAATGTTCTGGGGAAAAACACGAACAAAAATGACAAAGATGACTAAACCAGAAAGAACAATTAATATTAATACATTAACAAGTACTCCAATTTGAAGGAACTTTGAAAGTAATTAAAACTGAGAAGAAAGTGCAACAAATCCATGAACGTGCATTTGTTATTACAGGAGACTTGGTTTTTAAAGGAAAAGCAATGCAGTGTGTGTGCACTGGACAGGGCTCTTGAACTCAAAATATCTTAGTAGTAATGTACTCTTTACAAAAGGGATTTGGCAGAGAATTACCTTGAAGACTTGTGTCACATGGACAGACACCTTCTGTGGGCATTATCAACCTTGTACCCGGATGTTTCTCCTATGCTTCACTATTGGGAAAATGCCAATCACATAAGCTGCACATAAACGTTTCCCCTTTTAAAATGGCATCACTCCTACCTAAGGGATGAGAGTCTCCTGGTAAGGCTTAGTGGCAAGTGCGTACTACATCTGTTATTACAAGGAGAAGCCCCTGATTTTCTTATATGCATAGCTTTACAGAGTTGAGATTAAACATGGCTTTCATAAATAATACAGGTGTTTTTGTCATGTACCACTGCTGGCTCTATAGTTTCCAGGTGAGCTGGTGGCAGTACTCTATCAGCTACCTCAACAGGTGTCGGTTCTTCAGACGTTAGCTCTGTGGATGTTATATCTGTGGAAGGTTCTGCAGTTTCTGGTGAACGTTCAGCTGATGGTTCAGTCTCCTCTTCATCTTTGACTTCAAATTGCACACCTTCTTGGTCTTCCATGTGATCTTTTTTGGACTGTGAGTGGACAGACACCTTTATGGCAATCTGCTGAGGCTGTTCGTGTAAGGATGAGGTGTCAGAGTCAGCAGTGGGAGATTCACTTTGCTTTAAAGAGTTTGGGATTGTGTAAACCTCATCCCTGTCAGTGGCCTCCTGGCCTTCTGGAGTATGCCTCACAAAATTCTGCCCCTGCTCCTCTAGCCCAACCACCTCCATGATTTCCTCCATAATCGTCCTACAGTTCATAATGAGCGGGGGCAGAGGCACACTCCTGGCCAGCTCTTCAATATAGCGGGCAAATTCCATGGTTTTAAACTGGGTGACTTTGGCAAGTTCTAAAGTTTTGGCTGATGTGATGATGGGGATCCGCTTGGCAATTTCGAACGCCTTTTGCAGCTTCTCTGCACCTTCTGTCCTAAAGAAATCATTAATGGCTTTCTCAGTCTTTTTCAGGTGGCTGCTCATCATGCACAGACGGGTGATGTTGAGGATCATGACGATGGTGAAGGCCACAAGGCAGACGACCATGTAGTAGACACCCATGTCTCCAGAGGTAAAGATGACTCTCAAGGTCACTGTGTTGTTCACAGTACCGTACATGTTAGAAGCAACACACGTGTATTTACCTCGGTCTGAAAAAGACACCTTGGTGATGTTCAGTAGGCCGTTGTCGTGCATCTGCCATTTTCCTGTTAGAGGGAGAGGAGACAATTCAACCAAGGATATACAATTCCCATTGTAATCACCAAAAACTGTTAGATATAGCCAATGCCATCTATGACTACCACAATACTGACAATAACAATGAACACTGACTGTATGTGCTTACTGTGTAAGTGCTTTACAGGTACTAATTAATTAACCATCACCACAACTCCGTGGGTAGGTATTACTATTAACTCCATTTTACAGGGTGAGGAAACTGAGGCATAATTAGGTTAAACAATCTTCCCAAGGTCACCAGTTTGGAGACAGCAGAGCTGGAACATAAACTCAAGCTCAAAAGTCTGTGTGGCAAACCATCAAACTATACTGCACAATGTGCTTCTGGATGGCTTCAAACCGCCAATCTTTCAGTTAGTCGAATGTTCAACCATTTGCAGCACCCAGGGAGTCCTAGTAAAAAAATAAAAAATCTTTGGAACCCAGTGTGCTTTCCTGGTCATCCTTAACTGTAGCATCAAGTTTTCTAACATGCTGGTGAGCATGGCTCTACTAAATATATGCTTACCCGGGTCAAACAAGTTTAAAGTCTCTTGGAATAGAAAGCGTTTTAGAACTAACTTAAAATCTAAAATCAATCATTACATTCTAATTGTTTACCTGGCCTCCTCATATTTGAGATAGAGGTTATCCCTTAATGACCTCAATTAATTAAAACATAACTTACATTATTAATTTTGATATTCTACAATGTATTGTCTCTATTACTTAAAGCTACAAGCAATGTGAAAGTTTAGAAGACGGGCATAAATGAGGATCAATTTATTTTGGCAATGTGAGAAGACTGCAGACCCATCAAGTTGAAAATAAGCTAGACATGGAGAACGTACCATGAAAAATGAGATTCTTCTTGCTCCCTCTCCCTGGAAGGCTAGCTTGGGTTTAGCATTATCCTGGGAATGAGGATCTGAACCTGGTAAAACTATTTAGTTCAGATTCATTCTTAATTTATCTAATTCACAGATTAGAGGGCCTTATGAAAAAGAAACATGGTTCTAGGTTTAGCTTTGAGTCTGGGACCTGAGTCTTCCACCTCCCCAATATGTTCCACAGAGAAGTTAGGCCCAGCTCAGGCCTCTCGGGGATATTACAGAACAAACAGGTAGAAAATACTTCATAAAAGCATTCCAGTTCCCTAAGCCAACAGAGAGAAACCTCTCCTAACAGGGCAATCTGACACATGTGATTCCTTGTATCTAATAATTTAATTGTATTTTACTTGTTTCTGTCCCTTCAGATAATTACTTTTAGTCTAATATTTCCTGAATAACACACTCCTTTTATTGTTTTTATTTTTGTTTTTGGATCTCATGAGCACATAAGTGACTAGGTCTCAATGGGCTGTGTAATGAAGCAACAGAGGGCTTTCTTTACTCTAGCATCCTTTGCTCAAAGGAACATTACTGAGGGAGCTACGCAGAGAAATGAGGTGCCTTCTGGGGGCCCATGATTCCTGCCATTTGCAGGATGTGGTGAATTTGGCAGGATTTCTCTCTGTAGATGCTGTCACACTCCTTTGCTTCTGAAAGAACATCTGTGAGGAGTAGTTTCTAGTGTCCCTGAGTAACCCTTTTCTAACAAGTCAACCAGTGTATTCCTCCTAAGAATACAAAACACTAGTTTAGAAAATTTAGGGAAGTTTCAGCTTCTTGTGAATGTATATATACAGACAAACCTGGTCCATGGCCTGTTCAATTTTCTCTCAGTCAGACGGGCATGGTACCCCTCTCTTATTCCCTGGTCATGAGATTATGAGACTTCAGCTGCAGATTTATCTCAGTGTACACAATCTGAGGCCAGGGAAATTACTTTATTCGTTTATTTTCTTAAAATGTGTCTGTTTCATAAAAGTAGACTACAGCAGGCATAGGAAAAAAACAAAAACAAAACTCCAATTGACTTAAAGTTTGTTATATGTAGAAGGTACTGGGTTCCAGAGAATTAAATTAGACTTGTAGTAGTTTTTCATATTTACCTTCCTCTCTTTGTTGGAAAATATAACTGGAAATTGGAGTAGACAAGGGAAGAGTAGGACAGTGAGTTTATTCACATGGGAAATGGTTCTTATTGTATTGTTAAGTATCTTCAAGCCAGTTCTTACTAATAGCGACTGGTGTGGCGCTGTGGGTTAATGTGCCAGACTGCAAAGCCATTTGAACTACAAGATCGGCGGTTCAAGCTCACCAGGTGCTCCTCGGAAACCCTATACAGGGTCACTATGGGTTGGAACTGACTCAACGGCACACAAGAACAACAACATAGGGTTTCTGAGGTACAGATGGTGGGTTTGAACTGCTGATCTTGTGGTTCGCAGTTGAGCGCCACACTGGAATCCATTTATTCACACTCCATCTGCCCCTTTTACGAAAAATTATGTAAAATAGTAGGGGCCTGTGTGAAGCAAATATTAAACTAAGAAGATAAACATCTCATGATAATGTAAACAGCTTATCTCTGTACCTAAATAAGAATTTTAGTAATAACAGGTGCCCTGGTGGCATAGTGGGTTACATGTTGGAGTGCAAACTGCAAGCTCAGCAGTTCAAATCCACCAGCTGCCCCCCCCGCCCCCCGAGGGAGAAAGATGAGGATTTCAGTTATCAAAAGTATTTACAGCCTCAGAAATCCTATACAGAGGGTCGATTGTTTTGTTGTGTGCTGACTTAACAGCACACAACAAAACAATCATTTTAGTCATAATAGTATCCGAAGTGTTATAGAAAATGTTACAATAGATACAAATTACAACAAACGAATCCTTTATGACTATTTAAAATATAACTGAAAGTGAACTTTATAGCTAACTTCAGGCATGCTTTTAGTTGTCTACTGATATATACTTATCTATTTTGGAAACAAGCAGCTCAATTCAGGTAACAATTTAGCTACTTCAGAAGTTTCTTGACACATTGTTAAAAGGGCTACATAGCTTGGAGTCAAACATAACCTGATTAGGTGACATGCATGACTCACTTAGGGACACTTGTGAGACAGACAACAAAGTAATTATTACTTAGGAGCACATGCTTCTCCTAAGCCCTGTACAGTGTCTCTTTATACAAACACCTTTTATGTACTTCATCCAACAATTAGTTGCATTGGCTTAGAGTTCAATGCCCAGTCGAGTATCTATGAAGTGATTTTTATTTAGCTATGGTTCGTGTTACTGCTGAGTACATTTCAACTCATGGTGACCCCATGTGTGCAGAGCAGAACTGTTCCACAGGGCTTGTAAGACTGTGCTCTTTTGGAAGTCTTATGCCTTTCTTACAAGGCATGTCTGGGTGGGTTTGAATCATCAACAGTTTGATTAGTAGACCAATGCTTAACCATTTGTGGCACCTATGGTTAAGCATGCCATTATTCATCTTATTCATCTATGTTGTTGTTCTTAAGGGCCATTGAGTTGATCTGACCCATAGTGACCCTGTATAGGGTTTCTGAGAAGGTGGTAACTTGAACTGCTAACCCTGCAAGTCAAAGCGACTTTGGAGTAGAGTGCATTATCTATAAAATGCCACAAATATGAATACTATTCAACAACTAGCTTATGATTCTAATATAGCTGACTTTTTACTTACAAGTTGTAACACCCTAAGTAAATGACTGAGATTACCTCTCTCTCTGCTAGCAATATCCTTTGTCTTCAATCTAGGACAACGACACTGAGTCATCTTTTTAGTTTTCAGTCCCTTACTAGATTCTTCTTGAGACTAACATTGTGATGATTTTATGGATTGAAGTAATATGATACCATGTAGACCCCTCCTGTTAGGTGTGATACGGTAAAATGAATATGTAACACTGATACAACATTTTATTACCTGACCACAAAGCGAGTCTTTGGAAACCAACACACACACACACACACACACACACACACACCTTCCCCAAGCCATAATGTTGTTGAAGCTGAGATCTTGCCCTCAAAAGTAATATTTATTTGCTATCTCTTCTTTATTAAATGCACACTCATTCTTTCCCAGAAACTAAAACTCCAAATATTTCTTCTTTTAGCCTCATCTTGACCATTAATTATTGAAATAACAAAAAAGGTTTTGCATGCTCTACTACCACATGCAGCCCTGAGAACTATGAAGATAGCACAAATGCCATGCTGGGGGTCCTAACATATCAGCTTTCAGCCAGGGCTCAGAAGACTCTCCACAAGCCCCATCCCACCAAGTGCAACTTGAGAATACTCTCTGAGCTACATGCCACAATTCACCACGGTTGATAAATACCTCATTCCTTAACTCATTCTGGAAGGGTCCTGAGTTTACCTGTCAGGAAGTTAAAGGAATAAAAACACATACAATGACAGCCACAGGAAACCTCCAGGGCTGCACAAATGAAGCAGGTATGTGAGGGCTTTTCCTGTGTGTTTTAAAGTATAATTGTGTAGGAATATGAAAGTTACATACTGAATCTTCATTAAGCTGCATCACTTCAGCACAGATAAAAGCCTAAAATGTCAGCAGTGGATGTCAAGTCAGTTCGCCTACATACAATAGTTTTGGTGAAATAAAAGAAGTATTTTTTCTTTTCTTTTGGTAAAATAAAAGAAGTATTTTTGGTGAAATAAAAGAAGGATGCTCTGGTTTAACAGGAACATACTTTCTACAGAAGACAGATCTTGTGTAAAATATTTACCTAACACTCCTCACTCTAGTCTTCACTCAGACTGTAGCTCCCTAGCCTGTTGCCCTCCCCCATGCTCTTCCTCTCACCTCTCCCTTCCCATTCCTGTCCTGTAAATCTGTGCAACTCTCCCACACGTGGACAGGAGCATTATGGAGACAATGCCTTCTTTGTAAAAAGAAAAGCTAACAGATGCTATTTCTTGGTTGCACCTTGGTGTCTATGTTATGCTTCAAGACAAAGTTAATGTTTTTACAAGGCCGTTATTGTTAAGTACCAACAAGTAGATACCAACTCATAGCAACCCTGTATAGGATTTCTGAGG